GGGCCAAGTGCTCAGAGAGGATCCCCTGTTCTATGCCTTGTCACTGCTGTATGTGGGGCTACCCTCTGGCTGGAGTGCTGCGATGGCATGGGCAGCAGGTTTGGTGGGAGGAGGAAAGAGCAACAGGCTGCTTATCGTGGTGGGGGGCCTCAGTGCTGCATTGCCAGTTGGGGGGATGGAGCGCCTGAAGCTCCTGAAAGTTTCTAATCTGTTGGGCTGAGTGTTGCAGGATGATTTTGTCTACCTGTCCTCTTTCCTGAGCAGCAAGGTCTTTGTAATCCTTGCCCTTTACCAGCCCTCTTGCTGTTGCTAATCTTTCAACATACCCACCTTTCTTTTGTCCCAGAGTGGCTGGTTGTGGGTACCTGTTCTCCACAAGTGTGAATAATCTCTCTTTTTCCGAGTATTCTGCCTGTCTTTGCTTTTCAACCCCACTAATCTCCAGTGCACCATGTAATGTGGGTTCATGCTCCCAGAGCAGATCTCCAGTGGTGAGTGTTTAGCAGTCCTGGGCTTCTGCTCCTTCCCTGCTCCATTTCTCTTCCTCCTGCCTGTGAGCTGTGGTGGTGGGAGGGCTTTGTCATGCTTGATTGCTGCTTTGCCACTTTACCTTTTTCCATGGGGTCTTCTCTTTTCCTCAGATGTAGGCCATTTGTTGCAGTCTTCTTTCTGTTTGCTTTTTCAGGATTTGTTGTATTTGCTGTATTTCATATTATGTGTGGTTTTGGTAGTTGGTGGTCTCTGCTTCACTTCTCACACCGCCATCTTTTTCTGACTTCTGTCTTTTTTGTTTCTGACTAATGAGTTTTAGCATTTGAAGTTAGTGCCTATTTTTCTCCTTCACCTATATCACCCTTCCCACCACCACTCCTTTAATTTTTGGAGCAATATCGTTTGAAGAGCAGTTTTTAATTTTGATGAAGTGAATTCATTGACTTTTTTTCTTTGATATTTTCCTTTTTTGTGTTCTGTTATGTACTCAGAGTCTGTTCTATGTTTGGTTTAGATCTGTGATCCATTCTGAGTTCTTTTTTGTTTATGTGCATGCTAAGCATCAGAGAGTTCATTTTTGGGCATCATATGGTTCTTCAGTTGTTTGTTCCAGCATCATTTGCTCAAAAAATTATCTTTTCCCTATTGGCACCTTTTGTTAAAAATTGACTATATGTGTAGGTCATTTCTGGACTCTGTTCTGTTTGATTGATCTCACTGCCTATTTCAGTACTACAACTACCTTGATTACTGTGGCTTTCATAATATATCTCAAAATCAGATAATGTAATATTAAAACTTTGTTTCTTTTATAAAATTTGTTTTGGCTATTCTGGGTCCTTTATATTTTCATATAAATTTTAGAGTCAGCTTTTCAATTTCTACAAAAAGTCTTACTCTGGGATTTGTAGGGGGATTGCATCAGATCTGGTGATCAATTTCATGAGAACAGACATTTTACTGAGTCTTCTAATCTATGAGCACAGTTTATCTCTCAATTTAAGCTTTGTTTAATTTTTCTTGGCAGTGTTTCTTAGTCACCACTGTATAAGTCTTGTATATCTTTTGTCAAATTTATCCATCAGCATTCCCTATGTTTTGATTCTATTTTAAGTGATTCTTACCATGAGCATTCCCTATGTTTTGATTGTATTTTTAAAAGTTCAGTTTCTGATTGGTCATGGTTGTTACATAGAAATACCACTGATTTTTTTATATTGACATTTCTGCGATCTTGCTAAATTTCCAATAGTAGACTCTTCTCTGTATCCCATAGTATTAACTATGTCACCAGTCATAGCATCTGTGGATAAAGACAGTTACATATTCTTTCTAGTGTGTGTTGTTTTTATTTCATTTCTCTTGGCTTTATTGTATTGCTAGGATTCCTTGTACAGTGTTGAATAAATTTTGATTTGTAGTGATGAGAGCAGACATCCTTGCCTTGTTCCTGATTGTAGGGGGAAAGAAGCCTTTCACCACTTTAATGTTTTGTCTCTAAGTTTTTCATATGTGCCCTTTATTGGGTTGAGGAAGTCCCTTCTATTCCTGGATTCCCGAGAATTTTAATCAGGAATGAATGCTGGATTTTGTCAAATGCTTTTTTGCATCTTTATTGAGATGGTCATAGTTTTTGTGTTTTACTTTGTTAACATGGTAAATTATAGTGATTGATTTTTGAATGTTCAATCAGTTTTGCATTCTTGGGATTAAATCCCAATTGGTCATGATGTGTAGTCCTTTTTATACATTATTGTTACATCTCTTTGCTATATACTAAGAATTTTTGCATCTGTGTTTGTGAGGGATATGGGCTTATAGCTTTCTTTTCTTACAACATATTTATCTTGTTTTGTCCCTCATAAAAATATTCTCCTGGAATAGATTTTTCTGATAGAATAGATTTTTTTTGGGGGGAAGAGTTTGAGTAGAATTAATATTTTTTCCTTCCTTAAATGTTTGGTAGAATTCAGTAGTAAAGACATCTTTGTGGAGATTTCTTTTATGAGGGATTTTTCCTTTTATTTATTTTTGGGGGGAAAATGGGAGTGATTTTTTTGTTACTTTAGTATTAGAAATAGAAATATTTTTATGATGAACATATAGTCTTCCTGTTATTTATACAATTCAAAATAATTTATAGACATAGTATATTTTACTCCTAAACACATTCAGAATTTGAGTTGCTTTTTAATTTTGTGAGGTAAAATTTGAATATAATTAAATGCATGTCTTAAGTTTAACATTTAGTGAGTTTTGTCGAATGCATACAATTATGTAATCAAATCCCTTTTAAGATATAATCATTACCATTACCCAGAAAGTTTTCTCATACCTCTTCTCAGTCAGTCCCAACCCATACCCCTAAGGCAAGTACTGTTCTGATTTTTATTCTTCCTTAACTAGTTTTACTTGCTCTGTAACTTCATATAAATGGAATCATATAGTATTTGTATGTATAATATGTGTGAGACTTCCTTAACTTGACATACAATTTTTGAGATTGATATGTATTGTTACATGGATCAATAGTACTCTCCTTTTACTACTTTGTAGTGTAACTTAATTTCATTGAGGTCAGGGAACATGTTCTATATAATGCCATATCTTGCTTTATCCTAAATTACATAGTCAATTTTCACAAGCATTGTTAGTGTTCTTGAGAAGAATGGGTATTTTCTTTTGGTTGTGTCTATGTTTCTATATCTCTCCTGTGGGTCAGCCTCAATAGTCATGCTGTTTGTTTCTTAAATCTCTAAAAAATCTGTTGCTTCACATCTATACTGCTGCTCTCCATATTTTAGATATATTGTGTAATTAAATATAACAATTGATTTCTTCTGGTGTACAGCTTTGGGTTTTGACAACTGCATAAAATTGGGTCTTAAGATGCATGAGAGTTCCTTTAATCCCCCAAGCATGTCTCTGTTTCTCCATTGTTAGTCAATACCTTCTTCCATCTCCTGCTACTGGAAGCCACGGAATTATTCTCTATCTGTTTAGTTTTGCCTTTTCCTAAATGTCATATAAATGAAATAATTGAATATGACTTTTTATTTTATTTAGCAAAGTAAATGCATTGAGATTCATCTATGTTGTTGGATTCAACCATCATATTAATGGTTGTTCCTTTTCATTGCTGAGTATTTATTGCTTTTTATTCCATTGTTTGGATGTACTATGGTTTGTTTCTCCAAGAACATTTGGGATGTTTCCAGTTTTTGGCAGTTAGGAATGAAACAGCTATAAACATTTGCATACAGGTTTTGATGTGGACCTGTTTTCCTTCTCTGGGACAAATACGTAGGAGTGGAATTGTTAAGTTCTATGCAAATGTAGCTTTAGCTTTATAGGCTGTGGTAGGTTTTACACTGTGGATTCTGTTTAATTCTGTTTGGGTTATTGATTTCTCCGTGAGTAAGCTTTGGTAGCTTTTTTTATCTTTTAAAGAATTTACCCATCTCCTCTGTTGAATTTATAGGCATAAAATTACTCCCCATCTCTCCTGACTATCCTTCTTAATATCTGTAGAATCTGTGTGAATCTCTCTCCTTGATATTTGAAATTTGTGTCTTTTTTTCTGATCACTTTGGATGGAGGTCTATCAATTTTATAGATCTCGAGCTAGCTTTTGGTTTCATTGATTTTTGGCCATTGACTTTCTATTTTCTGTTTAGTAGACTTCCAATATGATCCTTATTAGTTCCTTTCTTCTGCTTACTTTGGGTTTAACATATAATACAGGAAACATTTTTTTGTCTCTGTAAGTAAACTCATTTTAAAACCCTGTACTGAACCCTGATCTTTGCCAATAACAAGACTTCAGAGAAAATGAAATTACTACTATTTTTAATAAATAGACACAGGATTTTCTTTTTGTTTTGAATATTGATTTTCCTGCTTGTTTATCTGACATCTGTTTCAATTTCTGAATGAAGTACATCTGTAAATTCTGAAAATACTTGGAGTTTCCATTAAAAGCCCTGTGAAATTTATCATACAGAGCTCTCAGAGTTAAATATGTGGCATCACTTAAGTGGGGCAAAATATTGTGAAGAATAAAATTCTCTAATCTTAGTAGTCATTTAACTTAAAAGACTATGCAATATTTACTAGAATTCAGAATGTAAAATGTTTAAAACCCCAGGTTGTTGCAAATAAGTAACCTCCAACTAAAATTAACGCAGTTTTAGAGTAAGAATTTTCTGCAGTGGAGTTTGTATTACTCTTTTAGGTTTTTGTTCAAAATTTGAAATAAAATCAAGGAAGCAAATTGCTCTTTGAGATTCTGTTTAAATACTAATGCATACTTGATTCCTCTGTAAGTAGAATTTTATTTTTTAGATAGATGAAATAGATGGTTTTCTTAAATGCTTATTTTTTATGTGAGCTTACAGAACTTTATAGCTCTGTATATACATATAGTCTTATAGCCTTTATAAAACTAAATGGACATTATTTTCATTGTTTATTTTTCTAATTGTTTAATGTTACATTTTATCTTTTAGATCCTATTTGACCAAACTCAGAGATCAATTAAGGCACAGCTTCAGAACTTTGTTAAAGAGTAAGTCAGTTGCAGTGAAGAGAAATGGAAAGCAACCAGTTAATGATAGATCACATGTGGGAGATGGTATCTTTTGAGAGAAATTATGTGCCTTGAATTGCTGAAAATACTGAAATTTTTGTTTGTTTCGCTTTGTGAACTGTATATTGCATTTCTTCATGAACTACTCTGTAAGGGAATCAGACTTCATTTTATGCTTTTCAGTTCATTTCTATTATGAAATATGTGTTCAGGATACATAGCTACAATTGTTATGAGCTAAAAAAATTTCATTAAATATAAATAAATAATCTAATGACCTTTCAAAATCAAAGCAAACCCCAAATGTGGTTGAAATACTATCAGCTATTGTAGTTGAGACTAGTTTTCCATTGTAAATATGGTATTTTCTCTGAAGAGAGGATAATAGAATACATAAGAATGAGAAATGAAAGCGCATGCCTTTGCTACATGTGTCTCTTTTGTGTCATATTCATCAAATTTTATATGTGAAATAAAATGAAAATAGAAATGAAAATGTATGAACTTGATAGGAACATTTTCCTTTTCCACATTAATAATTTAGTTTTTCTCTTTTTATTCCTGACTGAGATAAAAATACAGATGAATTTGATCATGATACAGTATTGAGGATAAATGATATACCTTGTAAGCTGTAAATAGTGGCAGAGCTCATGAACATAGTGCACTGCCATTTTAATAGGTTAGAATTTGTCCTGGTGATGATGTAATGCAAATCTTTTACAAATAACTTCATAATAGACTTATGTCAGAATGTCCTTAGAATGTATATGTGAAAATTTATGTCTATTTTTAAAGAGTTTAAGTCTTTCTTAGGTATGTATTTTATTATTATTATTATTTTTAAGTCATTTGTCTTCAATTTATTTTGCCTATTTCCCTGGTAGAAAAAGTAAAAGCAAAGGGATGTTACATACTTACCTAAGATTATTAATGAACCAGGGATTTCAGACTATTGAAATGGATACTGTTACCCCTTATAGGTAGGTACACAATTCTTTTAGAAAGCACTATATGTGTTTGTTTTAAGAGTATATTCGTGCCCTTTGGCCCAGTAATTGTCTTCAACAAGAAATGAATGTTTCTTGAAGTGTGGTCTGTAGTCCACTCATAACAGTATTTATGGAAGTTTCACTGTTTTTATTTTTTAGAGATCTTAGGAAATTCAAAGATGCCAAGAAGCAATTTGAAAAAGTCAGTGAAGAAAAAGAAAATGCATTAGTAAAAAATGCTCAGGTGCAAAGAAACAAACAGCATGAAGTTGAAGAAGCCACAAACATTCTGACAGCAACAAGAAAATGTTTTCGACACATAGCCCTTGATTATGTACTTCAGGTATAATTATTATATGCTCTCAAAAACTGCTTACTAAACGTGTAACTACTTTTAGTGATTGCACTGAAAATAACAAATAATGCTATTTCCTTTATTTTAGAATTAAATCATGATCATCTGTGCAAAATTTTCACTTGTTTGTATATCTGTCTTTATACACATATATGTGTTTGTACATGTATATCTCTGGTTCTGATTTCTTCCCTTTTTCACTTAACATTGTACTTTATACCACTTGGAAATGTTGTAAAAAGCATTTTTAATTGCTATATATTATTCTCTGGAGTTGCGGTGTCAACTAATATCTGATTATGAGACACAGTGTTGCCAGTTTTTACTGGCAATAATAAAAATACAATATTTAATCATTGTAAATGATAATAACATCTTTGTATATAAATCTTTTGCCACATTCTTGATGATTTTTTTAGAGTAGATTTTTAGTGATACTAAGGCTCACCATATTGCCAAATGAAAAATATTACCAAAAATGTTCTCATATTTATATTAGGTGCTGCTTTTTTTTAAGTAGAGATTGGTATTTTGTAAATTGTCTGGTGATTTTCAATGCAAAATTGGAAGTAGTTTGAATGTGATCAGTCTCTAAAGGATTTGAGAGACATGAAAAATGAAGGCATACATTGTACATTTTCTCACATGTACTTTATATGTGCCTATGTATCATGGAGTTTAAAATCTTGGGCTTTAAAGCTTAGGGAGTTATCTTGTCTAAATCTCCTTTTATAAAATAGCAGAGGAGTCCCAGAAATTCTTGACTTAATGAATATCACAGAGTATTTCTTAAAAAAATACCTAAGTAACCATATGCCAATTAGTGATTAAAAACTACTTACTTTCTACAACAGGAGAAAATGACTTTAAGATTTTTTTCTATTCTGTTTCTATTCAGTAACTGGGAAGTTAAATTTTTAAAAAATATTTTTTATTAAGGGATTATTGATATACACTCTTATGAAGGTTTCACATGAAAAAACAATGTGGTTACTACATCTGCTCATATTATCAAGTCCCCACCCATACTCCAATGTAGTCACTGTCCATCAGTGTAGTAAGATGCCACAGATTCACTATTTGCCTTCTCTGTGCTACACTGTTTTCCCTGTGATCCCCCACACCATATGTATTAAACATAATACCCCTCAATCCCCTTCTCCCTCCCTCCTGACCCACCCTCTCACACCCCTCCCTTTCAGTAAGTACTAGTTGTGGGAAGTTAAATTTTAAAAAGTGAAGTACATTCAATTTATTAATGAAAGGCTTCTAGAGTGGAGTAGTCTGTATTTCTCATCTCCTGTTATCTACCTCATGTTCACACCATTTCCTGTGGTAGTATGAGTACTCAATCTTCCTACCCCATTCCACTGAAATGGCTCATGCTGAGGTCTTATTCATTAGGTACATTTTAGGTTTTAACCAACTAGACCATTGTATTACTGAAATGGTAGACCACACTCTCCTGTTTGAGACATACTTTTGTCTTGATTTATCTCAAACCACTTTTAGGTCATCTTCTTGCATTTCAATTTCCTCCATGGGCATCTCACCTTTGTCCACCTTTTCAGCCTCTTGTTCAGTTTCATTCTTGGTACTATTCTTTTCTGGCTTTATGATTTCCCTTAAAGCCTCTTTTTTTTTTTTAGATAATTATTTTTTATTGAAGGGTAGTTGACACATAGTATTACATTAGTTTCAGGTGTACAACACAGTGATTCAACATTTATATACATGATAATTCTAGGTACCAGCTATCACCATACCAAGTTGTTACAATATTTTGACTATATTCCTTATGCTATACATTACCTCCCAGTTACTTATTTATTTTACAATTGGAAGTGTGTACTTTTTTTTTTTTTTTGTGAGGGCATCTCTCCTATTTATTGATCAAATGGTTGTTAACAACAATAAAATTCTGTATAGGGGA